CAAGAGGACAGAGGGCCACTGTTGGCCGGCTGATGGTCAAGCCTCCCCATCCACTCACAGTCCAATTTACTGATTTCTCCTTCCTTCCTTTCTTTAGTTATACTTTGTAAACAAGCTTAGTAAATAATTTTAATCGAGTCGGCAACATTTTCTATAAAATCATTTTATATCTAGTCATTATTTTTCTCTTTTAGTTGTTTGTAATATTTGTCTTTTAGTTTATTTTACAAAATAAAAGTCTCTGTTAAAATCTGTTGGAGGAGATTAAAAACTAGCTAAAGCTTGTATGCAGGACAGTGATCTGGGTGGTCTGAGGGGGGACCAGCAGTGGCAAAAAGTCTACAGGGTGCCGACCTTGTTAAGCCAGCGGACCGATACATGTTCGCTAAGTGGGAAGGGTTACATTAGAAATCACGCTAACATACAGAGGGTGCTAATGCTAAGCTACACAGACCAGAGAGGAGCTAATGCTAACTCTGTGTCATAGATCTACATTCCTAGATGCCGCTTTGTCTGTTATTCTCTATCTGAGGTGATACGTCTGCGCGTCCGCCATGTTGGAGAGGTCAAGATCCGCTTGTGAACAGATTCCCTTGTATTGAGAGACGAAGAGTCTCAGGATTAAATCAGCCACAACTTCCTTATTACTCAACCGATTTTCACCAAATCTGCTTAGTTATAATCCTCAGACGTAGATTAATCTAGACTGCATGGATCTGCTCTCAGTAGCTTTTATTACTTTAATAACTGATCGAGCTAATTAGCCGTCCAGACCAGCAGGAAAGTATTCAGTCTGGACCTGATGTTAAAAACCGAGTTTAGCATAAGTAGAAACACAATCAGACATATCAGCAAATCCATCAATGTGTGAATCAATTCTGATCTGAATACACAAAAAAATAAAATAAACCCCCAAAACACAGCAAGAAGGACGAAGCTGAAGTCGGCTTAATATTCGCCAGCTTCTTGTTTGAATTTCCCCGTTCCGCCTTAAATGGTGCAGCAGTTACTTCCTGGTGCCTGAGGCTGCACCATTTAAGGTGGAACAGGAAAATTCGAACAAAAAGCTGGCTGGATGCATCATTTAAGGTGGAAATTCAAACAAGAAGCTGGCAAATAAAAAAAG